GGAATTTTTGTTGAGTGTTATTGGTCATCAAGTTTTGGATTTTAGTAGCTGTTACAATTCGAAAATCTTGAGTCTACACAATTTGGTCGACACTTGTAGCCATAGTATGATTGTTAAGGATCTCTAGAACCTTGATCATCAGGTTTCTGGTTTAATTAGCTAGGATGATCCTGTATGCAGTGTACAAACAAGAGTTATCTTCCACATCAAATACCACGCAGTATAATTCGTTGAATCAGGGAGATGCGTTGATAACATTGGATAATCTTGGGCCTGCAAGCCTGATCAACACTTTGATGACATTGGGATCATTGGGATTCTCGGGAATCCCGATGGTCTATCAGGTTACTGATTGCGTTAGCTGGGTGTACTAGCTATATTAATCCTACTCATAGTGTTTAAATATTGCAACACGAAACTAGTCATCAAAATCATCAATATTTGGTTTCTTTACTTGATCGTTGAGTAAAGAGTCTAGATATTATATTCTTCCGTCCACTATTGATTCTATTATTTAGTAAGTGTACAAATAGTGTTAATTTAAATAATTTTAAATGTTTAACATAAACATTTACAGTCAGACGAAATCAAATAAAATCGATGATTTGGTCAGCATCGATTCGAACTTTTGTTTCCATCGAATAAAATAGCTGAATTCGATATTAAAATTTCTACGGTCAATAAATAACGACCAGTCCTGAAACGTACGATGGTTCTATGATACTCCGACATGCAAATGCGAAATGATTCACCGCCGCGAGGGGCTTATCAAGATTCCCCTTATCCGAAAATCGCCTCACGACATGTGCATACATCCATGACGAGAAAACGAAAGTATTCGTGGCGAAATAAACCAACAGCCATATGGGAAAATCGCCGGAGATACGATTCGCCTCGCCAGCAGACGTTTCTTCGCGTTACTTTCGTAAATGTCATTGGTCATTAAAGCGGAGATTCCCTATCGCGAAGCCGACTGCCGGTTCTGTGAACGGCGAGATTCGGAATTTCGATATTCGTAAGCGCGGATGAAAAATCCACGACGATCTTGGAAGAATCTGCGTCGCGGAAAAAAGGAACTGGGCACGAAATTTGTTTGGCAAATCATAGATAACATTATCAATCAATTTTTTATTTCAATCTTTCGAAAGAAATAGTAGAGATACCAAATTAGTTTGTTTTTGTAAGTGACTGTAATTTCTATTGTTCAAAACACAAGATATAAAAATATTTTTTATTTTTTAAACAGATCCAAAGGCTTGGTAGTATTTCTTTCTTCCTATTCTGTGATTTATTCTTCGTCAAATCAAATATAGATTAGCCAATTTTAATTTTAATGGATTCATTCCAGTCCCAAACGACAACTCTGAATATTTTGCATTTTAAGCACTGATACTTTTATAAATATTTATGATACGTATATTATTGTGCTTAAAGATACGTATCAGAAATGTTTCATTTCGTATGAAAAGATTAGTACGTATGCATACTATAAATATTCAAAAAGGTTTCTGTGTCTGGTATCATAAATTATTCTAGTACTACGCGTTACACTGTATATTACATAAAATAACTGTATTCTTTAAAGTTTCACAAATGGTTTCGATAACACACTCGTATTATTAAATAACTAATCCTCTTCGAACAATTAAAATAAATAAGTTACAAATTTCGAGTGCAATACGAGGTTAAAAAAATATACCTTCTGGATCTGTACCTAATAAAAAAATCACTATACGTTTCGAATTCGAGATTCATTTTGACGATTATTCGAATTTCACCGTAACTGGATATCTTCTGGCACGAACAAATGATTTTCGGTCCAACCTTTCCGGTCGGCAGTCGGATCCTCTTTCGATTAAAAGCGTTTCGCAAAATCGATTTCCCGATAAAGGCTTCCCATTCCGCGTCTGGATCGCGCTGAAAAGATCGCCAGGAAAACGTGCATGAACTTTCATTTCGCAACCGTATCTCGGTTTTGAATCTCCCGTGAGAATTCACCTTTCTGAAAAACAGACGATCCCCTCGCCTAATGGTCAGTGACATTTACGATGACGGAATGATCCGCGCGTTTCTACTGCATCCCACCACCCTTTGAATGCCTCCTTTTGAGAGCCCGACGTTTCCCGCGGATTAATTTCCACGGATCATTAATAAATGCCGCCGAGTTTGGCCGAAAAAAACGGTGATAATAATATTTCGATATTTTGAGAAACGCGAAAATATTTTATTTTATCACAATTTTTGAGAGACAGACCCTGATAGTATGAATTTAAAATGTAACGATAGTGATCCACCCGTTTAATGTCAGTTGTCTTCGCCAGGGGTGAAAAAAGTCAAAAAGGTATAAAAAACGAACGAAACACCGACCAGAGGTCGAAACCGGTTTGAATGTATGACTGGCAACGACCATTACGTATGAAAATTATTCTTATTTTCATATAACAAGCGAAATGTTATGATAACTCGCGTAAGAAATTACGTTGATAAGATCCTTCGTAAACAAATTAAGACGATACGAGAAAATTGCTTTCGTTGTGTAAAATCAGATTTGCCCATCGCTGCGAGAGGAGTCGCCGGCCATGCAATACGCGTTCTCTTTGGCAAACGTCGCTGAATAAAGATTCTTTACCGTTAAGGTGCATTCTGAGCATGGCAAGGAGCATATTAACTGATTAAAAATTCAGATAATCGCAACGATGACGGGACGGAGATTTATTCGTCGTGTTGGGGGAATTATTTCTTTCGTGTCGGAAGGAATAGCTTTCTACCAAATATTTCTTTCATTTTTTAATGTACATAAATTTAGGATTTTCTGATCACTGCTGAGATATAAAGCAAAATTTGGATCTAATTCAACCTCGTTTAACGATTCCCTAAACCAGATCGAGACGTTTACGCTCATTGCGATTCTCCTTTCAATTTCTATCCCGTCCACGACGTTCGACGGTGAGTCTCCTCTAAAACTAAATATAGTTACGGTGGTTTAATGATAGCTGGGAGAAACAAGGCTTGAAAAATGTATTACGAACCCTCGAACACGAGCGTTGAACGTTTCAATTAACGGGCGCCGGTGGAGCGGGCGCGAGGGGTAGGAGAAAAGACGCAGAACGAAACGGAACAACGGTAAACCGCGGAGAAATACGGCCCGCCATTTTCCTGGGCGAATTTCCTGACGCGATCGTAAAACCGACGAACGCGCGGCCGTTTATCGCGAAATCGATTTGCGAAACGCGCGCGCGTCCAGGAACGAGCGAACGGGGAGTCCCGGCGCGAGACGCGAACTCTTCGCTGGTCATCGCCGTCAGCGCCACGCCGTACGAACGCGGTGGAGAGGGGAACAGTGGCTCGCGGAGTAGGGGAGGTGGGGGGTGAAAGGGGGAGGCAAGAGATTGGACGATCCGCGGGTCTGGTTGCGAGCGTACCATCGCGTCTACGCCGGCTGGTTCATTACGCAATGATCACGTCCGAGATGCAGAGGCCCGCTTCGAAACCAGTTTCGAATAGCTGCCGCGGCGGATGATGGTCGGAGGGGGGAGGACAGAGGGGGCAGAGGGCAACGGTGAATTATCCTTCCGCAATTTTGCCTAACTGAACCACTTTTGGCACCGGGGACCGCGGAAAAGAAAAGGGTTTCTGACCTGCCGCGCGACCAGATTAACCCCTTCAACCAGAAATTCTCAACTTGAGGGCACACTCACTTCTGTGTTTATAATCGTGGATGGGACTGAGAATCTAGAATCGGAGTCTTGAATGTGAATCTGGATTTCATTTTTGATGAGAATTTCGGATAAAAAGTGGATACGAATATGTCGGATGCAACCGAGATCTCGGTTGGTTCGAGAATCTCGGATGTACGTCTGAATTTCGGTCGAAGTTTTCATATTGCAATCGTGTTGTGTGAACCAAGTACAGTATTACTGTAATAAAATTTAAGTAAACTATAATGAAAGGAGATTTACATTTCTATTCGAGTAAAACTCAGTTAATGTAAGAAGTATAAGAAAATGACCATACTCAAAAATCAAAATTCAACAAATAACACACAAGCCATACAAATATATTATGAAAAATAAACTAAGGTTGGCTGTTTGACCACATTTTAAATACAAAATATAGAATTATATTCTGTTTAAAAATGATTTAAAATGGTATTCTTTACGATGCTCTGTATTAGAATACGATGTTCGACGCGACGATATAATGGGGCAGCGTTAATTGACGGCGTTAATCACTGACGATTAACACGGCGGAATGCGTCACCGAATCGGCTCGTCTCGCCTCGGTTTCGAGGGCCAAAGAAGGCGTACTCTGAATTTCCTACGCGGCAACGTCACGGGTCCGACAGTCCATTAGTCACGTCGAGCGCGACGACAAAACTCGCACGAGCTAAATAGCCGGTACACCTTGGCCCCGCGAAACCTGCAATTCACTCGTCGTCGGAGAAGGACGCGAAAGTTGAGCATTGAAGTCTCTGCGTTTACGCGTCCGCCATGACGGTAACCCTTTCAGCTTGCGCCCGGGATTTCATCAGCGCGGAGCCTCGACGAACATTCCGCCTCCGTCGACGTAGATTCGCGTTTTAAAAGATAAAATTCAAGACACTAATTAAGATATCAATTGACTTTCAATAACCTGAAAACTAAAATTTGATTATAAATAACGCATCAATAATCTAAAAACTATAATAACCACGTAATCTATTTACACTTAATTCGTGTAATTATTTCCATGTATGACTAAAACCAAGGGTCATATAATGGAGGCCTCTTAGGTTCGACGAATGTAAGGAGCAAATAAAATGAAAAAAAATTTTGTTTTTACTATGTACCGATATACCGCCTGCTTAACAAAAACCACGTCATTCCCCTCTACCAGCAGGGCAACCAATCGTAAAAGCAAACCCCCCGAGCGGTTAAAAACACGATCCGCGGTCCGTGGAAGCGTTTAAAAAACGACGATGGACCGGAAATTCCCGTCGATCGATGAAGATAAGGCGTTACCTGTAAGTGTGGAGTTGTTAATGGTGTTGTTTGCCGTGGAAATAGCCGATTGACTGGTGACAGGTGTGCCAACGGTGGTGGCCGTGGTTGTCGAGGAGTTATTTGGCGAGAGGGCCGCGTTGGCCGCCTGAGCCTGTACCTGGGCCTGGGCCTGAGCCTGAGCCTGAGCCTGCTGTTGAAGATTATAATTCCACGCGAGCAGCATCAGCTTCAGCTTATCCGCGTCTTTCATGAGCGCGCCTGCCGAAATTAAAAGTGCCAATTGGTTTCAGGGCATGATTAACACGGTGAATTAGTGCCGATGGAGGGGGTAGAATCGGACTCGCTTCTACGGTTTTGTGGTGGTGCGACTCGATATGGGGGGTTCGCTTGGACGTGGTGCTATCGATACTGTTTACGTGATACAGACAAATATGCAACTGTTTGTCTACGTTTGGTGATCAATGGCTTCATTTTGTTTACTACTGGACGTGGTTTGAGGCGGCTTTGTGCGAATTTGGGCGCCAAGTTTCGTTTTGGGAAGGAAATGTTCGTGAGAGACGGAGAACACTTGGTGTCGTTGTTAAGCAGTACAGTAGAACCTAGATAATTGCACGGGAACCTCTTTTCTTGCACTTTCTTGACCAGTGCAGTGGTTGCTTAGCAACGAATGAAGTTGGAAGTAGAACAGGAAGGTTGCTTAGCAACGAGTGAAGTTGGGAGTAGAAACGAGGGTGTTGCTTAGCAACCAATGAAGCTGGGAGTAGAACTGGGGAAGTTGCTTGGCAACGAGTGAAGTTGGAAGTAGAAACGAGGGTGTTGCTTAGCAACCAATGAAGCTGGGAGTAGAACTGGGTGAGTTGCTTAGCAACGAAGTTGGAAATGGATATAAGTAGTACTGATATACTAAGTAAATATGACTTCTTATTGAATTATTACTTATTTGCATTCACCGAGGTTTTACTGCATTCTAGAGGTACGTGCTCTTGTTTATTGTCGATTGGACTGTCGTGAAGTGTGTTGAAATGGCGAGGATGATGCAGACTTTACAATTTACTATGTCTTACACTCTAAAATTGCTAAATATTTTTCTATTCTACATTGCTACTGAAAATTCTAGTAACTGATAAAATCGTCGTATAGTAGATTTCTCTATCACTTATCGAGATGCCATTATCGAAAGTATGTCCACTAGATTTCCAAAGAATTTATTTTCCAAAATCGTACGAAAGCAATGTACTCCAGTCTCTAAAAATTTGTTTCCATACAAATATAAACACGCGTTGAGAAATGGTGTCTCTAGTATCCGCAAGTCGCGCTATCGTAAATTCCAACCTCCACGATCCTGTTCGCCGGGCCACAAGTGACTTTGACATTTTTATGACACCGATCGAATAACTCCGAGCTGATAACAATTCGCAAAGTCCATGCCAGATGTTCGACAGAGTCCTTCGCTCATACGAGAGAGTTCCTTACCATCGTCGACGTTGTCCCGTACGTCGATCGATCTACGTGCCCGTCTTCAAACGGTTCACGTTCGACGACGCAACAGGTGCAACTATCGAAATTCGCCGACATCCGTCGAATTCTCGAGCCCGTTCGCGCGAAAACACGGATACGTTAACAGTTCCGTCGCCGATCGCGCGCTAACCAGCCGCTCCCGAATTTTCATTCGATCGACGATACGTTTTAATCCCGAACAAAGAGTGATTAAGGGTGCTCGAACGGAATTTTATCGACCGCCGTGATTCGGGACGTTGTATAAAATTCCGAACAATATCGCGCGTGACAATCGTGCCTTTCCTTCGACTAGACGCGGCGACTATTTCAACAAAATGTCCTGTACAAATTCTGTTGAATCCGAAAATGCAATTCGTAGGATTTTAAACTTCTAACGACAGGGCCATTTTCTCATTTCGAAGTGGAGGACAAATAAAATTATTTTTTAGTCTGTTATTTTATATTTAATTAGTATTTTATTCCGAGATTAGCTGTTCGATTAATTTCTCCAACGAACAACAATAAAAATCGAGGTGTGTTGCGCGCGTTACGTAAAGGAAGCGCTATAGGGGCGCGGTAAACGTGGCGCACAAGTGCGACAGTGAGTTCGTCGAGTGTCAATTAAAACCTCATGCCCAATGGGTACGACCCCATCTCGATTGTGCACGCACTCGATTATCGATCCCGTTTCGTCTCGTATGAGTACAGACTCTCGTATCCGACAGCAGAAGGCGAACAAGTTCCGCGCGAAATTTCCTGGTGAAAGATTTTGGCGTGGGCAGGCTCATTGAACCTACCGTGAAATTGCTATGGTTCGACAGTCGCTCGTAAATAACAATCGATCGAGTTTTAGATACTGCCGGGGAAAAAGTGCGTCGGTTAAATTCATCACTGGAATTAACCGAATTCGTTTGTTTATTTACTTGATTTTATACTGGAAATAATTCCACTATTATGCAATCGCATTTAGAAGAAATAATATCGATTGCTATGCTTCATTTCAGCTAAGGTTATCAGATTTATTATAACTAATATTTCCGCAAATTAGGTATCCTATACGTATTGTTGAAGCACGAACAGTGACTGAATAAAATTTCAACCGAATTGGACAACCGTAGTAGTAGTTATAAGGAAATCACAAACTCACAGACTTCCGGATCGTATAGGAACAATTTTTGCATAGAAAAATTCATGTTACCTTTCGAGATAGGTATAAATAAATCGAGCAAAGCGTCGAAGTCGTATTTTATATAATTTGTCTTTTTTCAAATTTTGAATTGTGGGTACGTGTCATGTAGTCTGTCACTTTTCGTTTACGCGAACGTGTAGAGAATGAAATCATCCGATCGAAGAGCTGCGGGATCAGCTCGAAGGAGGACGTAATGGCGGCGCGAAGATCTTCGTTTGATTAATCGCTCGATTCTCGGAACCGCGAGGCAACGTCATCGCGCGCAAGGCGCGAGTGCGTCTCGCTCTTTCATGTAAGAGGCCACGGTAACGAGATTACGAGGTTGAAGTGTTGGTGCATGTTAATAAACACGGTGGTCAATCGTAACGTGGACAGAGCCCAGGTCGTCTTTATCGAAACTTGTATCCAACACGTTTGGCACGATCAATGAAATCCGAATAAAAAGAATTAAACAGTTTCGTGCACGACTAACTCAGATACAATGTCCTTCGATGTAAACCTCATTGTTAGGACGATAACAGGAAATTAACTGGTCAAACAATGGCTGAGGATTATACTAACACAAATATTAACGTGAATTAACTCGTATTGGATCTGACCCATGCCTAAGTTACACAGAATCTTAATATAAACCTGTCTTGGTACGATAATAGAAAATTAAGTCTAACGATAGCTGAAGATTCTAGTCGCTTTTAAGTGAAATCGCCATTTCTCCTGGAAGCATAGTGATTTTCATCTCGATTATGCCAAAAAATGTGATAGTAATGATCGATCACTAATACTATGTAAATATGTACATTTGAGTGTGGTTTAGTTGCTTGAATCCGGGGTATGAATAGTAACTTGAAAGCGAGCTAAGGATTTTTACCTCGAAGGAAAGTTGATAGAAACTGGTAGCTTACATTTCGCGAACATGAAATTTTTGTCTCGAACTGGGACCAACAAAGACGCGTCGAAAGATCGAGAAACATAAAACCGGGTACGGTTGGACGATTCGAGCCGGGCATAAAAATAGTCGCACGAGAGTGGGAATTACTGTAAGTCGAAATGCGTCACCGCGGATGATCGATAAGCACCCCATCACCGGTTTCTGCCGCGAAATTCATCCGCGATCGGCTGAGTAGCTCGTTGCTCTCCAGATTTCCCTCCGGTTTGCAGCGTCGATTCATCCGAGCGAGAGAGTTAGCAGTGACACGTAGAAGAGCTCTCGAGCCGCGCCAGGACGAAAGCGGAGAGAGATTTATTAGCAACCGGATAAAGTTGGCGGGTGACGGGAACGACGTGACGTCTAAATCATTCAGCCCGTTCAATAATGCAGAAACGCGACGCCGCCATTGGATTTGGGTCAGATTCCCGAAACGGCCGCGACCCGACCCCGTCTAAAGGACAACGAACACCGAGCGTTCAACGCTTCGACTGCGACTGCTAAGTTCGACACTCTCAGTCGTCTGTCGCTGAGGCTCGCCAACGTCAAATCCAGTTTTAGCTATTTTTATTGGCACATTGGAAGCCTCCACAGCTTTCAATTTGCAAAAACGAGAATAACAAGCACTTTGACTTGGAATCGAAAGAGAAGGCAGCAACTATAGTTGTATTTGTATTTGTTCACTTATTTTCACTTAAGTGTACGGGTGGCTACTTATTTACTACTTGTATCTAACCCTTTATAAAGAAACTAACTAGTGATAAAGAGAAACATAGATGATCCTAGTGTCATCTTGGGGTAACCAACCACACAGTGGAAGGAATTTTGTTTATTTTAAGGAAGAGGTAATACCGAGGAAGCAAACGGGTGAAAAGTATAGTGAATGGGGAGACGAAATAGGAAACCTAGAGTTTCAATGCATAGGGACGATCCACGCGTACAGATCCTGATCTAGCATCGTATCGAATGCACGTTTGACGCAACACTTGAATGTTCAAAGTACAGTCGAAACATTGTCGACCGTGTCTGGTTTCATGAAACGGCACAACGACGGTAGCCACCAGCCTGAGGAAGAAGAGTGAACTTCACTGAAGTGTGAATGCCAATGGACGCCATTGAAGAGCCCTAACGCAACCGATAACGTCACCATTGTCAACCATAGAAGCACGGATTTAATTCTATGTCGCCATTGAAACTTGCTAGACTTTCAGGGATCGTCAACTTTGCACGATTTTCAAGAATTTCCAGGCCTCAAAGGCGTCTGGGATATTTCTAAAGGATCCTCGAAGAATTTCAAGAAATTTTTCAAGATTCTCCCGAAGCTACCGATTCAATTTCCATCTTAGAATTCGTGCCTGAGAATATACGCCCTTCGAGAAGCTTCCCTTGCCATACGAAGTAAAAAATTCTAAAAATTCGGACACGCGTTGCTAAAAGGTGGTCCAAGGGTCGCAAGAAAATGATTCGATACCCCGCGATGCGAACAGAGAGACGACTAGGTTTATGAAAATGGCAGATGGAAAGTTTTGCTTACTCGAGTAGTGATCGTCCTCCGATATGTCGGCTGGTTCCGGCGTTGAGATGTTTTCCTGCAACAAGATGCAAAGAGTTCGTTAGTTATGAGTTGTGGAGACCATTTTCTTTGGAGAAGAGTACTGTATTTTGGGCAGAATTACTCTACTACAAATTAAATCAAACACGAACACAATTATACGCAAGTTTGCTTCCCTAGCTCTGACGGTTCCAGTCGATTTTAAGTGAAATCGCCATTTCACCTGAAATGGCAATAAATATGACACTGATAATCGATCACTAACTATGTAGATACAACATTGGTGTGGTTTTGTTACTTGAATCCGGGGTAAAGTCACATGAAAGCGGGCAAACGATTTTTACCTCGTGAGGGAAGTTTAACAGAGCCTAGTAGCTTTCATTTCGTGAACACGAGCAAGGTTGGGACGCAATTGAGCTGAAATGCGAATCATCGAGCACCGGTATAAATTAGAAAACCCTCGTGGAGCGGTTCTGCGTCTCGATCGTTGGATTATTGAAAAATTGAGACGCCGCAAGTCGGGCGAACTTATCAATCCCGCGGTCAGCCGTGCACGCGGCGTCCGACTGGGGTACCATAGAGTCGCGATTGTCTTCGCAGTTGCGCCACAGAAAAACACACCGAGAGAGACTTTCCGTACACCCACGGAACGGCCGTGGACTTTATTGTCCCGGATCGAGAGCTGCCAGCGGCTTGCGGTTCGTCTGAACGCAAATTACTTACGCCTCGGCTCGACGACGTGCTGTGGGAGACGGGATCGAGGCACGTCGGGAATGCCGGATCAATAGCGTAATTCAGCGCGCGGACTTCTTCGCGGGAAAACCGAACGCAACTTTGTCGAATCTGCCCAGGCATCGATGTCACCGGCGATCCCGACCATTTGCCCCAAACTGGGAGGCGAAAGGGTGAGACGAAACTCCGGAATCAAAGCTTGACTATGACTTGATGTTTTTGCAAAAGATCAGAGGATACTCACGATGGAACCTGGTACATTAATAATCATTTCATCACCCCGCTTCCGAATGCAAATTATTTGGTCTAGATTTATGAGTAAGATCGCGTTGAATCTTATCTTGCAATAAATCCATCACGATCGATTAATGTGTCGATGGTAACTCAGGCCTAACACCGACGTCATAGAATAAGAAACTTTCGTGTATTTACGCTTGCAACTCCGCGGAATTAATTCGGCGCCATCTATCATTTAATGCCTCTCGGGCAACCGTATATATCAGCCAACATCTCGGGCGCCTAAGTACTTCCTGAAACTCGAGTCCGATCTCTTGGCGCGTCATCGAAAATTCAAGTAAATTATCGAGCGATAACTCTTCCCGGGCGTCAAACATACGAAAAAACCTCGTATTTCAAAGCCCATTAACATCTTTGCAGTGTCCTGCATCTGGTGTTTCATCGTTCTACGCTTAAGAACCATGGGATTCTGTCAAGTCAGCGCGTTGAACGAAACGACCAGAGGTCGTTAGTCCTGATCCTGAACCAACTGACCGTTGGTCAAAGGATGAGGATCCCGTCTCCAGAATCATGAGGTCGTTCAGGTGTACTAAATTTGAGAGTTTGACCCTCTCTTCGTCGAACAGAATCCCCCCCCACCTCACCCCAGATGAAACGTACGTCGATTTCACAAGGCGTGTGCACAGCCATTGCCGGGCCCGACAGGCCCCGACTGTGGCTCTCCTATCTGTGTCAGGTCTCGTGTTGCAACTGCAGAAGGTCGACCGGTATACACGCCGAGGAGAGCACGGCCAATTGATACCGGCCGCAACTTTGTCCAGCGGTGTTGTAGGACGACGAGCGGTCGACTTGTACGCGCATACCGCGCTAGAGCCGCGCAAAAAGCGCCGGTGATGCAACCGAGACATTCCGACCGTGCCGTGCACGACGCTGGACACCCGTTCGGGGGCTGCTCGACGAAATTAGAGGACGTCGGGAGTCGGGAAGACGCGTTATTATAAGAAAATGTCCCCTGATGCTGAAGTTTGCTGGGAACTGTTGAGAGAAGTCGATTAGTAAAGGCAAGTAGTCGCAAGATGGGACTAGGACAGTGTTTATCGATGATGGGTGAGATAAGTTTGACAGGATTTATAATTGCTGATATGAGTAGCCAGATCCTAACAAAGAGTTATCTGGAGGGTGTATGAGGATTCTAGTACCATATGACTGATGAAAGAAAAGGGAACATGTGTCTGTGGCGTCACCTCCCATGCTCGCCACCAGAGGGGTCGCGCTCTCACAAGCGCTCGACCGACTTCCCAACGTCCAGTCGTCTAAGGCAGGGCCTGCTAGATAGCCTTACTCATGAGGAGTTTAAAATATTGAGAGTGCAGGCAAAGAGTAGTGTCAGGATGGGACTAAGACTAACCTAGATGAACTCCTAGTATGGTGCTAGGATTCCCAGTTCCCGGATGATGAGACAACACAACACCTGTCGACAAGTTCCAATCATGAATTAGACCTACTGAAAGTAGCAGACTAATCCCGGGAGTCCCCTCAGACCAGTACTAAGATTCTGTGTCGCGTGACAGTGTTACGAGAGTAGATATCTGTCGATCGGGCTTTGTTAATGACACACGGTGCAACGATGAGATAAGCCTGACCGCGTGGAAGTGGTACATTGTTATTGGGATGCAAACTGAGGTAGACGCAGTTACACAGGCCCCTTTGTTTCTACACAAAGTCAAAATTGCTCGGTCTGTACACCTGAGCCGATGATCTAACACCAGTCACAGGTTGCTTTCTGTTCTACGCCACATTGTGTTGGGTTCTTCGTGCACAGGGGGAACTTACGTAACACGATTGAGAGATAAGGTGGCTAATATCAATTTTAAATGGACCCTACCTAAATTTATAATAGTCTTCCACAGAAATAAGAAACTCAATCGAGAATTATTTGTATCTCTAAATACTTCCAAGCTGAGAACTATCGATCGTAGACATTTGGGATCCAATATTACTTAATCACCTCGAAAACTGATCATTATGATTATGAGCATGGTATCTAGTTGACGATGTGAATTACCAAGTTGCTTTTTCCGAATACCGAGTTTCGATGTTTAAAAATATTAGTAGCCCCGGAAAAAGTCCAAGCTTTAATTGATATTCTCCGGAACACGATTTTTTCCTTTCAATAGCAATTGATGCGTTGTAATCTCGGTTGAAGACCGACAGACGTGAAAGAAAGATTATAACGGTTCTAGGATTAACGGGTTGCTTATCCTTTAGTTGGAATCTTTTGTACGATCTTCAATACCTGGTCTTTCAAGGAAGCAGGTCTTCCCGGGACACATGCCACACATAGACGGCTTAAAAAATTTTTAATGCCAGGCTATAGAACCGTCCATACAGCATCTACGAATGCAACGCTTGGGAATCATTATGGTGGATGTAACATCGACAAGGCGTTAATTTTAGAACCCTAAGGTGCAGTAATCGGGGTCAAATAAAATTCTTTTTACAGTTCAATTGGAATACAATTTTATGCTTGTTAATATCAAAACAATCTTCAGCATTAAAGAAGAATTAATATATTTGTCAAACTATTTGTCAGTTGATTTTGATCAACCCTGGTCGCGAGCGTTGTACGCAGTTTCTGTTTTAATATTCGGTGAAATTTATTGACTGGAAACGTGCATCTTCAGTCTCGAGTTACAGCTTCGCGAGTTATTTTAAGAATCTTTCATTAAGAATTTAATATAACCCGATTCCAGCTACTATCGATACGTTTTCGATCCGCGACGTCCGTTTCCTGTTCCTTCATTGAAATACTCATCACGTTTAGAGTGCAGAGCCTTCTAAAAATAATCACCGAGTTACAAAGAAGTTGCATTTATTCTATTTTTCAATATGCACGAGAACGACAACTATTCGATAATTTTAATCTTAACGTATTATCCTATATAGTTTCGTAATGCAATCGCTATTAAAATATTTTATTTTCAAGAGGAGTTGCGACGGAATGAAGAATGTCAACCGTCAGGCCTGTCATTTTTCCTTGGTCTTATCACGAAAATAATTTTGCAATCAAATATCGCGCACGTTAAAAAATTAGGATCAATTTATGTTCAACTTTCTCGCGGCTCGTCCGCTACCAGCAATAAGCATAACCGGTTACACTGTTCAATCGATCAGGCGGCAGCGTTTCCCAACAAGAGTAATTCGTTTCAGAAGTTTAATTAATTCAATCTCCGTGGCCCGCCTCTGCCGCGACAACCGTGATTGAAATTCATAGGGACGCGAGAAATACGAGCAGATTTTTAAGAAAAAAAACATGGAACACTTACGCGAACGAGTCGTTTCCACTCCCCGTTTATCTAAGAAGAAAACACTAAAACATTGAACAACTCAAGTTCATGGGATAGCAACATGTTTCAGGTAAAAGAGAAATAAATTGATTTACAATCTAGACCTATGAAACACTCTCATCTCTAATAGTCTTATTAAACCTTGATAAGAAAGAACAAAGTTTCTATCACGAATTTCCGGGACACCCCGTATAACAATGACAATACCCATGAGTCTGTAGCCCCATTAACACCCAAGGCTAAATCTATGACACTTTTATCTCATCTCTAATAGCTAGACTCATTGAACATCCTCATTTTATGAAAGATCAGAGTCTCTACCACGAATTTCCGGAGCACCCCGTATAATAATGACAATACCCATGAGTCCGTGGGTCCATTAACGCCCAAAAAAGAATTCACTGCTTACCGGTTCGCAACGCTATGCACCAGCCAAAGAGTTGCGCTACCCATCTGTCCGGCAATCTTCCCCGAAATCGCGAGGTGCAGGACTCGGTAACGTCGTCCTCGCGGGCTACCAAGTGTGTCCAGGGCACGGTCGCTTGAAAATCCCCAGAAAGGTTCGCTCGATTCCGGCCTGCGGTCGATCGCCGGTCCTAAACCGACTCGTAAATCATGTCACGAGAGGCCTGAGGTATCCTGAGTTCGTAGGTACTAATGAACAATGTCCTCTGGCTTTCTCTCTCGTCCGGCTGTCCACCTTCTCTCTTTCTCCTCGTCT